AGACCCCTTCTACCTTTTACCTCTGAGAGTTTCTTCCAATCAATCCAATGAATTTTTTCATTTCCCTCACTATCCCCCACCAGAATTTCGCCATTTCTTTTCATAAATCCACACACAACCCTTTTGGCAACCTACAATAGCTCATAACATAAGTAGGTAAAGCAAGTACCACTGATTTTAACAAAACCTCCTTACCTGCATTACTTAATAATTTCTCCTTCCAGTTACTTAGCCTTTTGATAACTCTCTCTTTGATGTAGCTGAAAACCTGTCTTTTTGTCCTACCAATCACCATTGGGAGCCCAAGATACTTACTCTGCTTGACCTCTTTCATGCCACCCAGCACACCTAAAATTCTTGCTTTCTGCAACTCCTCAGTATTCTTGCTGAAAAAAACAAAAGATTTTTCTGCATTGAGAATCTGTCCCGAAGCAGCAGCATACTGCTCTAAGAATCCTCATCACTTGCCCACATGTTAGCTTGGCAGAAAATCAATGTATCATCTGAAAAAAATAAGTGAGATAAAACAGGGCTATGCTTAGCAATTTTTAACCCTGAGAGGCACTTATCTTGCATAACTTGTTTCAGTAGGCTAGATAAACCTTCAGAGACCAACAAAAACAAATAAGGGGAAAGGGGGTCCCACTATTGAATTCCTCTTGTAGGCCTCACAAATTCTCTCTTCTCGCCATTTATGTTAAAGGAATACACCACTAAGAACATACATCTCAAAATCCACCCCCTCCACTGTTGACAGAAACCCATTTTTTTCCATTATTGTCATAATAAAAGGCCACTCAACCCTATCATAAGCCTTAGACATATCAAGTTTTAAGGCCATAAAAGCATTGGAACCACTTCTCCTACTATTCAAGCAATGGATGGATTCGTGAGCAATAATGACATTATCAATGATTTGTCTCTCAGGGGTAAAAGCAAACTGGTTATAGCTAATGCAAAGCTTCAGGAGAGGTTTCATTCGATTAACAAGAATTTTAGATATGATTCTATAATTATCATAACACAAACTAATTGGTTTGAATTGTGACACAAAAACAGGAGACTCAACTTTAGGAATTAAGGTTATCATTGTTTCATTTACAGCACTAAGCAAATTCCTTGAGTGAAAGAAGCTGGATATGGCCCTTATCAAGTCTTCTTCAATAATGTGCCAAAAATTTTGGAAGAAAATGGGGGTCATACTATCAGGACTTGGAGCTTTATTAGGATGTAAAGAAAAAACAGCTTGCTTGACGTCCATCTCTGATACAGGTCTGATCAGCCTTGCATTCATTTGATCTGTGATTATCCTAGGGATTCCCTGCAAGATGGAGTCAGATAGTTGAGGAGTACTCGCTGTAAAGAGTGATTGGAAGTAACTCTGTATTTCCCCTTCAATCTCTGCCACAGAGCTGCACCAACTACCATTCTCTCTTTGTAAGCCAGATATATTATTTCTTTTCCTCCTCCCTTCCACGATGGCATGGAAGTATTTAGTATTTTTATCACCCTCCTTTTGCCATTTTACTCTTGTTTTTTGCCCCCAGTAAATTTCTTCCTTTTTGTATGCCTCTGCCAATTCCTTTTTCAGCTCCCTTATAATCCCCTTTTTGCCATTTGCCCCCTCTTTCTGTTGTTCTGCAATCTCCTGTTTCGCTCTTTGAATTTTCCTTTTAGCATTTACATTCTTCTGTTTATTCTATCCAATCAAAGCCACCCTTACATTCTTTATCTTCTGGTGCAGTTTAAAGAACCTGGAGCCCTCTTGCTGTAGCCGCCAAGCTCTACGGGTAATATGTTCCACCTCCTGATGTTGCAACCATCGCTTATCAAAATAAAATCTTTTCTTCCATCTCTCTTCTTTAGGCTCAGTATCTAAAAGGAGCATCAGGTGATCAGATGCTTCATTCTGAATGTGGGTACACTTTGCCTTCCCATTTTCTTTCCTCCAGTGCCTACTACAAAGTACTCTATCCAATCTTTCTTTGATTTCTCCATCTCCTTCCCAGTTGTTTGTCCAGGTCCACGGAGTGCCTTCAAAGCCAATATCAATAAGTTGGTTGCTACTCACAAAATTCCTAAAACTGTCAAAGCTTCTCTCAGGCCTTCTAAGTCCTCCCCATTTCTCATCATTTGACATAATATCATTCATATCCCCAGCTATCAACCAGTTTCTTCCCCACAACCATTTCCTCCTCTCTATAATTTCCCACTGTTGAGCCCTCACATGATCAATATTACTGGCATATATACAGATAAGCCACTAGTCGGTCTTACACCCATCTCCCTGAATTAACACTTCAATAATAAAATCTATAAAAAGTACCCTCCTAACTTGTAACTCTTTCCTCCACAAGACAGCCATGCCACCTGACTTACCAACAGGGTCAACAACAAATAAACTGTCATATCCAATTTTCTGTTTGACTTTGTTCAGAATATCCTTCCTGTTTTTGGTCTCCGGCAGGAAAACTAGCTCTGGGAAGTAGGGTTGAATAACTTTCTTAAGTTGGGGAACTGTCAAGGGACTCCTCACACCTCGACAATTTCACACCAGAGCTCTCATTGAGAATGCGGAGCCCTATTAAGGTTGGACTCCACTACCTTTCATCATCCTAGATTTCTTTCTCTTTTCCACTCCTTCCTCCCTCTCACCTCCCCCCCATTTTTCTTCCCTCGTGCTTCAATCTGTTTCCTTTTACCCCCTCCCCAAATGCAACTTCCATTATTTCATTTTTCTCAGATAAAGGCACTCTCCTGCCTAGCTCCTGAACCAACCTCTTCCATGCCTTACTCTTCTTACATGTCCCAGCAGGTTCCTTTCTGCCAACAATACATTTCCTACTCCACTCTGGCCCACCTTTTCTAACCTGTCCTCGTCAATCCACATAGTATCGTAACTTATGTTATCATTTTGAGTCATATCTACTGGTGGTTCAAAACTCTTGGCTTGTTCCAAGCTTTTACCGGTTGTAGAGCTTTGTGTTTTTTCCACCCTGTTTCCAATACCCCTCTCCTCAGTCTGTTGCTCACTTCTCGAGTACACAAGCTCAGTTCCCATATCATTCTCTTCCTGACCTCCCTTAGGCCCCTGATCCGTTTCCTCGGGTTCCCTAACCTTTGCCTCCCTCTCATTGTTACCTTGCTGCTATTCATTCACACTCCAAGTCAACAATAGACGTTCTGAAATTCCCTCACCCGTTGCCTTTTCCAACATCCTTTTCATTTTCAGTCTGACTCGAATTCCTCCCAGCATTCTGTTTTTTACCTGGACTTCTAGGGTTGCTCGCCCTCAACCAGGCTCCATACTGAGCTGCCTTATCCATACTAATGCCTTTCATGTTACAGTTTCTCTCATTTTGTCCCACAATTCCACAACAATAACAAAAATCAGGGCATTTCTCATACTTAAAACTCTATGCACCTAACATTTCCATTCAATTTCATTGTTGTTCCTCTGAATAAAGGCTTGTTAAAATCCAATTCCACCAAGATCTTCATGAGTTTGCCATCTTTACCTCCTCCATTCGGAATTAAAATTTCAATAACCTTATTAAACACCTCCCCAATCTTTCTGCCTACCTCCTTCGTCACTCAATGAATTGGTAAATTCCATAGTTGGACCCATATCCACGTCTTGGTGAAAGCCCCTTCATCCTGCTCCACTCCTTCCTTCCACGGCACCATAACTAGAAACATATTATCATAAATCCATGGTCTACCACTCAGCACTCTGTTCATATCCTTTTCATTACTAAAAATAAACTAAAACATGTTAATCCCAATCTCAACCACCCTCAGATTCTTAACATACGGCCACAAGTTACTAGCAAAGCTTTTAATACCTGAGAGATTCACACTCTTTTCTCCAAGCACCTTCCCGATAATACCATTCCGCCACCCCCTGATAAGCATCCCTACCCTCTTGCATAACACCCTTTGCTTCCTCATCAGTTAGAACAAATCTTCTCAACACCTGTTCTAGCTCCTCAGCCATTTGACTTATCCACAGGAAACCCCAACTAATCACCCGACCAAATCCACTACCCAACAGAACCTGTAAAAGAGACTGAGACCACAGAAACAAACAGAGCCAACAATAACATCCGCCGGCCTGGCATAAAAGGAGAAGCACCACCTACCACTAAAACACAACTAAAAAGCAAAGGAAACTGGACACACAAATCAGGACAAAAAGAAAAAGAAAAGATGAAAATTCGTCTGCGATTTAAAACAGAAAAAACAGAAAGCAAATCGGTCTACGATTTGATCCAGTGAAGATCGGTCCGCAGAGCATGGTATCCCCCTTTCTACACACATAATACATCGCAGAGCAAAAGATAATAATGCATCATCAAACCCATGAGATCACCATTGCTTGCCGTATTCAAAGTAGATCTGGACGGTTAGTGAGAGGAATCTAGGAGAGAAGGAAAGGAGCGGGAGTTTAAGATCTTTGATTTTGTGGAATTTGGGTACTTCGAGAAAACACCCAGCCGGGTGAGTTGGTCTCTACTCGAGAGAAAAAAGGCACCTACCAAGAGGGATCCCACTGTGGGGAAGTCTTCTTACATTTTCTTCTTATTAAGTTATCAAAAAGACCAATCTTTTGCCTACATTAAAAGTTAAAACAACATTAAATTTGACTCTGGGAGGTAGGCAAGGACTAGGATTGCAGATGCAGGTATTGTAACAAGAGTAGCTTCCACATAGCTGGTTATGCTAAAAAATGTGCACCTTTATTGGTCGCTTGATAGATTGTAGAACCTAAATACTTATTGGAAGTTCGGAATTGCAGCAAAAATTACCTTATTGACAATCCGTCTGCTTTCATATCTCTTGTTGAGATTATTACTTCCGAACTGAGAAACAGTGAATCACAATCAATTTCAATATTAAACTTGAACACTAAGTTGTACATAAACATCAAGGCTTGGCAAGACAAGAATCTTGCATGATAAAAGTGAAACAAGTTTACCATGACCTAGGTCTAACGTCTAAATTACAAAATCAAACTTACTCTTTGAACATAATATCGAATAACATTTTTAAAACCAGAAACATTTGCTTCTTGATCACCTACCACCAGAGAGAATAGATTCAGTTACAGTATGTGAAAAGCCCTTGTCCATGGAAGACAACGAGGAGGAAATTCCATCGGAGCTACCAGGATTGGCGAACCCCAGACCAACAGCAGAAATGCCAAGTGATGACAACTCTGGTAGCAGAACTGATCCATCCGAATACAGCAGAACTTGCCGCATACTTGGCCTAATGCTAGGTTCTGAATGAGAGCATAACAAGCCTAGCTTCAACACCAATTCTGCCTCTTCCTTCACATACTCAGTGCCCAGATTTTGATCAACTGCCCGGAGAATATCACCTGCTTTCCAGCACGAGAATACCCAATCAACCAATATCACATCCTCTTCTGGTGCTTGTGGATCTATTGGCCTTCTACCACAGGCAACCTCTAGTAAAAAGGCCCCAAAAGCATATACATCAGTGCTAGTTGTGGCCTTACCTGTTCTGTTGTGCTCAGGGGCAAGGTATCCAATAGTTCCTACTACGTGGGTGGTTTGAGGGAGAGTCCCATGATCGTATAGCCTCGCGAGGCCAAAATCTCCTAATCTTCCATTCAATTCAGCATCTATCAATACATTACTGGCTTTGACATCTCTGTGAATGACTACTTGCTCCCATTCTTCATGTAGATAGAATAATCCAGACGCTACGCCTTTGATGACTCGAAGTCTCTGGCTCCAGTTAAGGGTGGACTTGGGTTGATTGTAGAGAAATTTGTCAAGACTACCATTGGACATAAATTCATATACTAAAAGTAGCTCTCCTTTACGCCGACAATAGCCCAAGAGGGGTACTAAGTTTCGGTGGCGTAAGCGACCAATACTGATGATTTCTGCAATAAATTCTCTCATTCCCTGTCTTGATTGATGAGATACCTTCTTGACAGCAACTTCCATCTTGTTAGTAGGCAATACTCCTTTGTAGACCCTGCCAAATCCCCCTGCCCCCAGCAGCTCCTTTTCTCTAAAACCTTTGGTGGCTATGTACAAGTCTTTATACTTAAATCTATGGGGTCCATAGGCAAGCTCCCATTCTTCCATCACCTCTGCAAACTTCCACTTCCTCCTTAGATGATAAGCTACTCCAGATATTACGAGCAACAACAAAAATGTGCAAATTAGTGGCAATCCTACAGTAAAAAATTTCGATACCTTCTTGGGTCCAAATCGAGGTAGCTTGGGAAGTCGAGAGAGGTCAAGTGCTTGAGCAACACCATTCATCTTGAAGCTCCATCCCAGTACAAAATGAGCTGCTGCTAGTGAACCAGTAGATGCGGAGAAGCCAACATACATGGTTTGCCGTAGAATAGGCGAAAGATCATATGACAATGACAAAAGAGGAGTATTTGGTTTAGCCGCTGCAATTGGAGCTAATGTAACATTGATTACCTTACTCTCCCCATCATATTCCACCCAGAGTTGCATCCGCTGCGCACTACTAAGAGTTAAGTTGTCAAATGAATTCTTGTTATTATCTCGGTAACTTGCTGGCTGCGATGCTGTAGAAAACAAGGAGTCAATGTCAATTCCAACATGGTTGTCGTTGATATCGTTAAACTCATGGGTTTGGATAGTGTCGAGCTCCACCGCGAAAACATGATTACTTGCATTTCCATTGGTGCTATCATTGAAGAGGCCAAGGAACTGTGTGGGAAGCCCTCCTGGGAGGCCTCTTGTTGGTGCGATCACGAAAGCCATTCCATGACCACTCAGGCCTGAGACTTCAGGCAATATTGCAAACACAAATTGGGTGGAAAAAGAGAAAGCTGGGCCATTAGACGCGCTCTTGAAATTGATGGGATCAGGATAGAAGGCATGCCCCATTTGTAACTTGGTGATGTTGGTTATCCTTAAGAGGCCATTGTCGGTAATTTTGGCTATGCCGTCCAGGCTTAGATTTGATGATTGAAATCCTTCATAGATGAACCCAACGTCATCAGGTGCTGCTGAATCAGCTCCTATGTGAACTATTACAAGAAGGGCCAGGAATGTTGTTACTAGTGTGAATGACATGGCTAAGATACTAAGCTGCAAAATCCTTCTCAATTAGTAGCCTATTTAAGGTTTAAACTACTATCTAGTCTTGTAATTTTTTTACTGGTTTTACATAATCAGACATCGTCCATAGTTTGGATTTACTTCTTGTCATGGCATCCTGTGCTTAATCAGTCAGTAGACTGGTTTTTTTTTTTTTTTTTTTAAATAAACAACGTAGACAACAAAGTTAAATCTTCTTGCTACTAATGCGTTTTTCTTTAATTTTCCATCCTGGAATGATGGAATCAAGACTTCGTCAATTGAATGATGTCAAGCTGATTCTAACTCGAAAATAATTGAGCCTAAACATTGAAACATAAAAGGAGAACTTATATTCCTTTCTTTTCTTTTCGATTGACTCTAACTTCAATGTCACGTTGGAAAGTCCTTGAGGTAGCCGGGGCAGGTAGGGTCGCTGTTGGAAAGTCCCTGAGGGAACTGATGCAGGTATCCATCCGATTGACATGTTTGCGATGGTACACAATATTATTATTATTTTATGTAAACTGACTTTTAAATGAATTCAATAATATAATATAATTACACATCAAAAAATATGATAAATACGATAACTTCACCAAACTAGATAAGACCAACAGCGATATTGACTCCATATAAATAAATATTTTACATATATTTAATATAATATTATAATATAATTGTACACCGAAATTTTAAATATACAACACCGGCATCCAGGCCAATCATGTGGTCTTTGTAAGAAGTTTGCAGTTGTACAACGAGATGATACATTAGGTAATGAGTCTTGCGGCAATGGACTGGCACCGAGGCTGCTAAATAGTTTAAGATTGACTTGCCAGATATTACGAGACTTGGAAGAAAATTGAGTTAAACAATGCAAAGACTAGCTTTCTAACAAAGACGCTCCATATTTAATTTCATCTGTTAAATCATTTACGTGATTGCATATTATCATTGATGTTACGTTTTGACGCTTCGTTTAATACATATTCTTAAGATAAGAATTTTACCAAACTAAGAAATTGATTAAATCGTTTCTCCTTTTTGACTGGCATAAGAACCGGATGGAGGATCTTTAGAGGACGTGGGATGGTTAGTGCCACTTTCCAGTAATAACTTAATATCATTTCTATATTTTTGTCAAACGTCCTATTTATTTAAATTGTCACACACTCTTTAATTTTTTAATAACTCAAATTGATTTGGTTTAACTCAAATTTTCTTTATCCACACGTGATAAGTGAAATTGGCATTAGATTTGACACCAGATAGGTCTACAATTGTATAGTATATTTGATTGAATTTTGTCCAAATTCAATAATTGTGATTTATGTGAAAAGGCACATTTGCAAAGTTCTTGATATTTTACCCTTGTTATTTTTTGTGTATATTTTTGTCACACTAATCCATAGATTGGTTATTGTAGTGCATGCATGTGCCGTTCCAAAACTGTTCCATAGATTGGTTATTGTAGTGCATCTGCTGGCCTTCATTCCATAAGGGCCTAAAGCTCCACCTCCATATGTTCCACCTGTTTCATTTCTTCTCAGTTTCAAACCTCAACTCCAAATTTTACCGTCAACGTTTTTTCTTCATTGACTGCTTCTTGATGTGGAATAAGTTGTCAAAACTTAACTTATTAAGCGGGTCTAAGCAAGAACGCTCAGAAGCCGGTCGAGGTGGGTTGAAGTCCACAATCTTTACATTTGGGAGGAGATTTGAGTTTTATACTATTGAATCGGAATCAATTAGCAAAGCCCTATGACATTTTCTAGGTTGCATTTCGAAGTTTCGAGACCAAAATTCATCATTATTCTACAATTTTATTCCATTGTAGTTACAAATAGTTAGTTCCAACCGCAGAACAGGGGGTGAGAACTGTCGATTTTTACCTTGGGGGATTGCTTACAAGAATTTTACTCCTATTTTCATGTCAGGTCCTCCCCTTCCCCCTCCACCCCCACCCCCACCCCCACCCCCACACTTTAATATCGAGTCTTGCCTCCCAAACTTGAATTAGTTAATACATTAATCATATGTTTTGCTTTCTAGAATATTGTTTTAGAAGTTTATGTTCGTAACGGTATTGAACAGCCTTTTTTTTTTTTGGGCGTATATTAAACTAATGATTTAATTTATGGGATAATTTCAGAAACCTCCTTTGAAATTTTTGACAATTTCACTTGGCTCCCCTCAGATTTAAAAAATTACAGTTATCCCCCTGACATAGTAAAATACCTATAATGCCCTCTACTTGGTAGATAATTTTAAATTTAAGGCAATAAATTTATAAAACCCAAAATAAAGTCTATTTTTCTGTCTTTTATTTATTTTTGCTTCTCTTTTTTCTACTTGATATAACCTCCTTTTATTATATTCAATTTTTGTGAATATTAGCAAATTAAAATTACAAAATTAACAGAGGGAGCAGATTATGCGTCAAACTAGAAGGAAATGAAGAGACTCACAGTGATAGAGAAATAAATAATGAAATCGATGATTGAAATAGGTAGAAAAACTAAAGATGTGGAATTTGTCCTATTTTGCTTGTTGTTAAGAAATTTTTTTTATAAAATTTCAATAATTACATAAGGATCTCTTTCATTGAATTAGAATTTTTTTATTATGATTTTATTGTGGAGGTAGAATTTATTCTTTACTTTTGAGATATTGATATTTTTAAGGCCATTGGAGGGTTGTAATGGTCGTTCTAAATAAGATTAACTTATATTGAAAAGGTATTTGAACATTGATATTTAATTTTGGGGTATAAAATTGGTTGTCAATGGGGTTTGTGTGTGTGTTTTCGTCTTTTACATGGCAAGTATTAATACTATACATTCAATTTGAGATCTTTTGAATGGTTACTTGGTTTTAGAACTTATGGTTGGATAGTTGTTTGAGATTAGGCTTGTTGCTTTGTGCAAAGTATAGAAGAAAATGATTGAGTATACTATATTTTTCTTTCTTATTTTCACACAAAAGGGCAATTTAGGATTTTTGCGAGAAAATCTATCTTATTCGACGTACATTGTTACTAAGTAGTAAAATTATGGGAGGTATATGTAATTTTTAAAACTTGAGGAGAGCTCTCTATAATTGTTAAAAACCTCAGGGGAGGTTTGTGAAATTATCCCTTAATTTATTTGACTATGAAATTTAAATTGACGTATGACACTTCAATTTAAGGGAAAGAATGTAGGTTTTGTTCGCAGGACAAAAGATGGGTGATGCTTCGAATGTTATCCCTTCAAAATCACATTTCAACTAGAAGAGACACGTTTAGTTATGTACCAATTTTTTTTTTGGGTCCTTTTTTCCCCCTAATGGAAATCCCTACACACAGTCAGAACTAATTACCGTCATGTATTTCATTTTGCCCCTTCAAAGTTAAAATCCTGGTTCCGCCAATGCTTGGTTATGTATCATGTTTCTTTGAAACTTTGTCAGAGAAGATTGTATGTCTTCTTATTTTCATTTCTCACCAGTACCATGTAAAACTTCTTAGGCCGAACTCCAGGACAGCAATGGCTGTTGAGCACAAAATTTTGAAAGAAAATATAATCAGATTAATCACTGAACCCAAAGGAAGGATTTCAAATGTCTTAAATATGCCTCTGGGATGCAACTTTACTGCATTTGAAATATGAATCCTACAAAAGTCCAAATCTACCATTACCATGGAGATTCTGGTGGTCGTTTTTGCAGTATTATCAAGTATTATTTAGCTCAGGAATTAAAGGCGTGCTAATGTTTTACAAAGTTGCAAGACACGCCTTTGTCCAGTTGAGGAACCAAGGCGTGATTGCACTGTAGACATAGTGAAAATGCAAATCTGATCTTGCATTTTTTTAAAACTGCTGAGATGGAAAATTAGACATCTTTTTTTTTTTTTCGGTTCAACAGAAACTATAAAAGAAATCTCAACCACTCTGTGGATGTTAACTTAGTCAGAGACAGCAAATAACAAGTCATTCCATCGAGTTTAAGCCGTTTGTAAAGTTTTGAAAATGTAACGAAAAAATTTAGAAAAACAATTGTTGAGAGTTGAGAAAGTAAGAAATAAAAAGGCTTTCCCCATCCAAAAAAAAAAAATCAACGAACTACCGATATCTTTGTGCATGACATTTAATAAATTTTAGTTCGTGAAATTTAACTTAATTGACGAAAATTATGATTACGTACGTAACAACACAAATTGTAGTTATATATCTTAGTCAGTCTACAGTTTTCTTTAATTCTTTCTTAAAAATAAAAGGTTATCTTTAAATTTCTCATTGTCAGTCAAGGTCATTTTAGTGTGAGGTTGCTCCAAAGGAAAACGATTGTCTATCTCACTTTGTTCGCTTTCGCTTTCAGTGATGACAACAGTACTCTCTCCATTCAAAAATTATACCTACTTTTCTTTAATTCATCTTTTTATGCACACAAGAAATTGTTGTGTCTAGATAAGGTGACTTTAGGTAGATTTATAGTATGATTCTTCAATTCTAATAGTCTGAAGTTTATTGCTATTTGTGAAAGTTGCTTTATCAAGGGCAACATGGCTAATTTGTTTTTTTCTTTCTCTTTTTTTTTTTTTGGTTTTTTTAGCTTTATCAATGACAAAAAGGCTAATTTTATTTGCGAATCCATTCTTTCTTTCGTGCCGTTACATTTTAGTCAATGTATTTGTTGCACGGATGACTTTAGAAATTAACGTATTAAATGGTATTTTTCTTCTTTCTTTCTTTTTGGTTTAGGGAAAAAAACCCTCATCAGCCTTGGGAGGGTTTTTCTTTCTTTCTTTCTTTATTTCCTTAACGAAAAAAAGTCATTAATTTTTATCACGCATGAATTTATTTCTCAAACAAAAAAGTCTTTATTTTTTCATTTTAACCTCGAGTAGCAACAATTATTAGTAATTATTCATAATTGGTGTATCTTCATTATTAACATACAGATTTAAAAAAAAGTTAAGATAAACAAAGTTGTTATAATATGTATACTAAGTA